CCGCCCGGGCGCCGACTGCAGCTCCAGCCCGCCGTTGCTCAAGGTACGGGGGACGGGATGTCGCCCATTAGGCCAGAGCCCCACATCCGCTCGGCCCTCCTCGGGCTACGAGCACCGTGAGCCGAGCGGACTAGTCCGTGCTTTTCCCGGAAATAACGCGTTCTCGTTGCCACTGGCGAGTCTGATTAAACGACCGTCTTCAACAAAGTGCTAAATTACGGCCGCTCATAAGCGCTTATTCAATTAGCCGACAGGCAACTCGCGTCAGGAACTTGCGATGCCCCAGCCCCACTTTGCTTCTTATTCGTCATTTTCATCCTCATCGTCATCGTCGTCGTCGTCGTCGTCGTCGTCGTCGTCGTCGTCGTCGTCGTCGTCGTCGTCGTCGTCGTCGTTGTCATTGTCATCGTCGTAATTCTTGTCATTATCACCAACATCATCATCTTCACTACTACCATCACCATCATCATCTTTCCTTCTTCTTCTTCTTCCTCTTCTTCTGCATTTTTTCTTCTTGTTATTCCACCTCTTCTTCTCATCTCTATTACAATCAATTAAATCCTTGCAAAAGTTATACAAAATTTTTTTCCCTTTTCCCTTCGCTATTGCCATTTGTCTGTCCGAACACGTGCAACTCGTTAACGGTACGGCTGCCAAATTATCTTGCTTCCAATGGTGTTTTCTCGCGTCAAATTCATGTTTTATTCTTGTTCCCTCTCGATATGTTTTCGTGCTTCGTAACTATTAATTAAATTGATTGGCGCATTTCATCAAGACTTGTTTCTACGGTATTCCGCAGTTTTAACTCCAATCAAACATTGCCATTTTTCACAACTTATCCACGTTAAAAATATTTCTCGTTACACGGCATACACTATTTTAATCTAATTTGGCTCATTAGATTTTGCATACGTATGATCGAGGCATTCGTGTACCAATATAGCAATGAACATTTTGCTCGACTTAAATTACGTCAAAGTCCATAATCAAACATTCACTATTTAGAATATTAATGACACGTACGTAATGTTATATTGATTATTGACAAATTTGTCTTCTAGTCACATTTTTATATTTTACTATTTATTTTAACATTACAGATTAAACTTATTTTGTTTATTATTCGATTCTGTTTCTATTATAATATGGCTATATAAATAAATATATATATATATATATATATATATATATATATATATATATATGTATATATCCAATGATACAAAATATAATTAAACGCGCGCGAATACATAAGTAAAATCAAATAAGCAAATAAACAACCAAAACGAAATAACAAATTATGTATTTATAATTTTGTAAATATTTTTAAAAAATCCATGTCTTACGGACGAGGTCATAAATTTAATTTTGTGCAAATATTTATTTTAAATTATTACGATCGATTGATATATAATAAAATTAATTGATTTAAAATAAATGTAAGATTAATTTTAAATGAATAAATTAATAAATATTGATAATTTGTAAATTAAAATGATAAATTTATAATTAATTTAAAAGATGTGACGTTGAACCATGTGTACTTATTACAGTGCTTATTAGTAGAAAATTGTATTAATTTGAACAATAATAAACCTTATTTATCAACTGTATCAACTGATAATAATAAATATTATATAGTTATCAAAGTATATGAAATATAAATTAAAGCATGTATTAAAAAAAAATATATGTTTCATTTTATTATTTGACTAATGTCGAATTCAGAACACACAATTCAATAAAGTTAATTAGTATGCATATAGCATGATCTTTATGAGCAATGTAAATTTTTCTTGCATATATCATAATATTCACAGAGGAATGCAAATTGCAAACCACATCGGGTCAATTATTCGTATTTATTACGATTTAATTCGTGATAAAATACTGCCACTTAAAGTAATAATTTTAACTCTTTAATTTCGGTATTATATTTTGTTAGTTTGACTAAATATAGGTTTTTTTCTCTTTTCACGTTCATAAATATTTTCACTAAGTACTAATATAAAATATATATATATGTTTTTTTTTTTATAGAAATTAATAAATGTATCTTTCAAATCTTTAAATTTTAACTACAAAGTTAATAAACAATTCAGTGCGTATATTATTATTGAACTCGTGTTGAATTTCTTAAAGTAGAATTCCACTCTGACAATTATTGGAATTGAATTACTCTATTAAGAGTGGATTTCAACTCGATGGTTAATTAAGTTGATCCGAAATCTAAGTACTTTGTAAACTGACCTCTTTCTATTATAATATACATGCTAGCGCTAATGCATAAAGAAACAATTGTACATTCCGACAATGATTTACCTTGCCTTTAAAATTGCCAAATTTGAAGATACTAATTATACATATAAAGAAATACAATTGTATAAACAAAAATGATATGATGATAAGTCTGCGTGTTTACTCTCTTTACGAGGTTGCTCTAATTGAAAATGAAATCAATTAGAGTGGAATTCCACTCTAAGTGGCGAAATACTTATGGTTACAAATGAGACACTATTCTATGAAATTTGGCCTATTAATTATTTAACATGAATTAATATTCACCATATTTATTAAGGTTCATAAAATTTTTAATTTAATTTAATATAAATTTACACTCATTAGAATATATTGAAATATTATATTGAAATAGTAGGATTGCGCCTTTTTTTTATTTGTTAGATGCTTACTTCTATTCAATTCAAGAGGACCGATGTACATAGAATATAAATCATTAGCGATAATTACGTTAAAAATTAAATTTACATAAAATACATTTAATTTATGTTTAATTGGCAAAATTATTTCACTGTTCAACATATTTTTCCATGAATTTACATTAATACAAGCAATTGAATGCTTAAAGTATAACTATTGGCTTTATGAAATTTAAGTTTTATGATTTAAATAAAACCGTTGATTAGTATTTAGTAACAGTAGCTTGACACAAACTTCGAAAAATAATTCTTTGATAATAAACACGTTAGGTGTTTGTGCGTGAGCGCGCGCGCGCCCGCGTTGTTTCGCTCGCACGTATATATAAATTCAATATATATTGATAGATAATTAGTATAAAAATTAATTAGTTTACAATTATAATAGTTATTAATGATATTTACATAATTTTTAAGGTGGTTGGAAACAAACTTATTGTTCATAAATTAACATCGAATCAAAGACTCAAATGGATTCCTTCTTAATATAATAAACTTAAGAGCTGCACAATTTTCAATTAATAGTTTTTAGTATTAATGCTATTGGCGTTTTAATGTGAAACTATCATTAATTAATTAATAATATAAGTGTTGGATTTCAAGATTGATCATTCATTAATCAAAATATTAAATTTCGATTACTTTAACATATATATTATTACTCAAAATTTAAGAAGTCTCAAAATTTAAAACCTATGAGAAATTATTATGTAGAACGTGAATTTATAGTTTTAAATTAAGAATGTGTTTAAGTAGAGTAAAATTTGTACAAATTAATAATATTACTTAGTTAAAACGATTGATTTTTTATCAAATTTGATAACGAAAAAATTTTAATAAAGATAAAAATCTTTATTATAATTTCATTGCTATATATTTTATCTTCATAAATAAGCGATTGAAATGTGATTATTAAAACAGTTGTAACTGTTTAAAGAAAATTCAACTATTAAACACGCATAATAACTATGATTGATTAAGTAATTAAATTAAATATATATTTTACTTATAACAGATAACAGATAACGTTTTCAATCTAATCATTATAATTGAAAGTAAGTTTTATTTACATTTATTATATCAATACGTATTTATCCGATATGTTGAACTTTCTCGATATTATCGAATATGAACAATATGTAAGCTATAAATATTTTATTTTATATGTATACATATTAATAAATGTGCATATAAAGTTCAACGCAACACATATTTACCCAAAGTTTAATGAATTTACATTTTCTATTGATTTTTTATATACGCAATATCTTTAGCATTGGGACTATAAGTTACATTTACTTAGGGATATGTAAACTTATATGTTTAAATTGAAAATAGATACTTATAATTTATCGAAACATAAACGCATGTTTTCAACAACATTTATATAAACATCATTTACATGCTGCGTAGATAAAAAATTAAATCCAATTTTCGTGGATCTCGCGTAAACTTTTTTAAATCTGCCAATTCCTACTAATTTGCTATCAGAATACGATTACAAACAAAAGCGTATTATCGCGTTTATAAATGTGAAAATGCCTGTTAAAATGTGCGTGAGTGTGCTCGTGTATAAGCTCATGACGTCTACTCCATAATTCGCTCCTCTACACCCGTAGCCGCATTAATAGTAAAACGCATTGTACGTGTATTCACGTACACAGGCCACCACGTATCGCACTAACGCACTTCAACTCACTTATAAAGTGTCAATTATCACGTTAAATGCAATGAATGCTATCCATAGCACTGCTCATCTACGGAGTATTTTTGACTTTCACTGTGCCATTAAGCCATTGTGGCACTAATGCACCCGCAGTAAGCCCTTAGTGAACATATTCCTTTAAGAATATCCTACGTGTGAGGAGGAAATTTCTTCAGATTCTCAATCTTTAATCGTGCTAGAGTATCCATCGTGCGTGTGCTTTGAGGAGCATCTATCTGCTCTATGAGTGTGGGTGTAAAATTGGCCTATGTAATTGGCTAAGTCTTTGAGGAGATGCGTCCAATGCGCAATTCATTCATTACGTAACGTTTCACACCGACTTTCATGTTGCTAGGGATATGTCTGCAAGGTGTTGTGTCGCAAGGTGTCAAATTGAAGAATTCAAGTGAGCCTTAACTCCTCTGTCATCTAAATTTTCTCGATATCTTACGTGCATTTCTACACTACAAATTGTTTCATTTATGATTTTATCATAATAAATGGACAAGCGGCACTATAAATTTATCCAGTTCTGAATCACAATGATTATAAATTTACGTATTAACATGCTCTTTATACATTTTTTTACATCAATAATAATAATAATAATAATAATAATAATAA